AGCACAGTACCAGGACGGTGGAAGGAGTCCTGGAGGCTCTTCAAGACTATGCAGTGTGGTGAGGCAGGCCTGCCCACCAGCAGAACCATCTGCCTGCTAGAGGGGGTGGCTGGGGAAAGAGACTGTGGGCATACTACCTGGAGCATGGCAATCTGTGGACGGCATAGAGGGAGGGGAGGTTGCAGAAGGCCACCTGCCAGGACAGGCACACCAGATCCTGTTTCCAACTTCTGCAGGCCAAAGTTAGAACAGAGGGGGTGGCCCCGAGAAGGCTTGACCTGGCTGGCATCCCATGGCTGGAGCCCATGATGTCAACACCTCCCGGTGTCTACAGGACCAGCAGCGGCAATGCCCGCCTGCCCTGGGCAACGCTGGGGGAACCCAGGCAGGGCACAGCCCCAGGCCAGTGGACCTGTTTTTCCCGTTTCCTGCCGTTCCCTGCAGCCTGGTCCAGGCATGTCCCTGCATGAGTGAGGAGCCTGAGCACCCTGACAGCAGAGGGGCTGGTCAGGTAGGTGGGTGAGAGGTGGGGCCCAGGCACCGGGAGGCTTGGGGGCAGGCACTTAATCCTTAGGGTAGAAAAGCTCACCTTGGTTAGGGAACTCACCAAGGTCACACAGCTGGTGGAGGTAGTAGGGTCAGCCTGTGCCTGTGTAAAAAAGTTCCTGGGGGGCATGGCAGGGGAGATTGGGGGTGGGGAGGTGGGGAGACAGGGCACTAAAAACAATGAGCACAAGAAGAAAATCTTGTCTTGTTAATATGATTGAATGGTTAAATTGCACGATATGTGAATTAGATACCGATGAAGCTATATAAATTAAGAGTCCATACCAAAAAAATAAAAACAACTCCTGGAAAACTTGGATTCAAAAGTAATGGAATTTTTCTATGAGATTTTTAGAAGCTCCCTCAGAGAAGCTAAACTGGAGTTAAAACAGAGGATGCTAAAAAATGCCACGCTCTGCCCTACCCCCTCAGCCTGGGCTAGGTGACCCCGGATGAGGCCCTGGGAGCACTAGGTGGCAAGCCCTAGTTTTCCAATCCCTGACTGTGTGGCCTTGAGCAAGCAGCTGAAGCGCTGGCAGAATCAGTAGCAACTAAGGGGCGGTACGCACCATGTGGAGGCTGCTCAGCTACGGTTTGCCCTTCCTAAGGAGGGCAGGGGCCTCTTGACCCAGACTGCCTCACAACCAGACCTGGGCCAGCAACAGGTGACATTTTTTGCCATGTGACTGGCCTTGCACTGCTGACCAAGAACGGTCACCTGCAGGCTAGCCAGATCCAGATGCCTCCCCCTGTGGCTCCCTAGCCTGTCCAGAGAAGGCAAGAAAGCCCAGGTCTGCTCTAGGGTGAGAGCAAAGCCCATGAGGGCCGAGCTCAGCTCTGGCCACCCAGGATCAGCATCTGAGCAACCTTTAAACGTATCTATCCTCCAGGAGGCCCTCAGGAGAAGTAGGGAAAAGAGAAGCGTTGGGCTCCCACGGTCTCTTATGCACCATTCATTCACACCTGTAAAGACCTGCTCTGGTCAGGTCTCTTGATCAGGACAGAGAGGATGGTCCCATGGACCCAGCCCTCCAGGAGCGCCTGGAACGTATCGGGGTAGAGGCTGGATGGACAGCTTGCCAACATGGCATGAAGAATGCCTTTCAGGGGTTGGGGGGGTGGGGAGTATGTGCAGGGGAGAGCTTCAGATGAGGGGTGACCTTTGAGGAGGACTTTGAGGAATAGAATGGAGTGAAAGGTGGGGCAGGGGGAGGGAGGGTGGGGGTGGGGAGGTGCGTTCTGGAAAGGCTTAGCAGGCAGAAAGAATCGCATGGACAAGAGAGGGAGGCCTGGAAGGGCATTTATTTCCCTTCCAGACCAAGAGCGCCTCTGGGCACCGGGGCGAGTGAGCCGTGGGGCACAGAGCATGGTTAGCGTGGGGCTCCACAGTGGCATTTGGGGGTCAGGAAACTCATGTTTATTTCCACCAGGCAGAAGGGGGAGATCTGAGAAAGAGGGCCTGGGGACTTGGTGACCTCCATAAAGCAAGACAGCAGCGTGACTACGTGTTAGGCTGCTAGCCCCAAGGCCAGCAGTCTGAAACCACCATGCTCCGAGGGAGAACGACGAGGCTGTCTACTCCTGTAAAGAGTCACAGTCTCAGAAACCCCGAGGGGCAGCCCGCCCGGGCTCCATAGGGTGGCTATGGGTGGGAGCCGACCCCCCGGCAGTGAGCTTTGAGCTGTTCGGAAGCACGGAGCGGGGAGCCAGGAAAGATGTGCTCACAGGTTGATGAGGCAGCTTGCGGAAGGCGAGAGCAGGCAGGGTCAGCCTGGATGGGGGCCACGGTGATCGATTCCCCAGCTGGCCTGGGAGGGTGGAGGGCAGGATGTCTCAAAACAGGTGAAAAGGGCAGCTCCTCTGCTCCCAAGGGAAGTCTCCACCCATCTTCTCGGAGTCAGGGGCTCCACCATTAGCGACCAGCAGGAAGCTCTTGGTGCGCAGGGATGAGATCTGAAGCTACCAACTCGGAGGAGGAATCTGGGCAGGGCAGCTGTGGGGAGTTTGCCCAGGACATGCAGGAAAGCCCCCTGATGTTTTCAGTGTGTGTATCTGTCAGGTGGAAGGACCTCAGGGGATGAGCTTGGGTGCTGAACTTCTCCAAGGCCCAGGAGATTTGGCCCAGGAAAGGTCTGTGTCCCCCAGGCTGCTGTGGCTGACTGACTCCTGGGCCAGGACTCTGCTCAGGTGAGACTGTGGTTCGTCCCTGCCCCACTGTGGTCCTCAGCCTCCCAGGCTGTCCTCCACACTTCTGCCGCTCTGGGAGCCAGAGAGGACCCCAGCTCACAACAGCCCCACATCCCACAACACTCCTCCTCCTCCTCTGCTCACCCATCCCTGTCACTCAAGCCTAAGCCAGGCCTCCTTCTGGCCGCCTCCCTCCCCCCCTTGCTGAAGCTCTGCTGGAGAGCAGCTGGCACACAAGCAGATTGGTCACTCCCTCCCTCCTGCAGCCCCTTCCAAACTCCAAAAGTTCACTGCCATCGAGCAGTGCCGACTCCTGGCAACCTGACAGGACAGAGTAGAACTGCCTGCGTGAGTTTCTGAGAGGGTAACTCTTCACAGAGTAGACAGCCTCCTCTGTCTCCCAAGGAGCTGCTGGTGGTTTCAAACTGCTGACTTTAAGGATTGCAGCCCAATTCAGAACCGCTATGCCACGAGGGCTCCTCTGGAAGGGCCTAGAGAGCTGAAATTGCCCCTCCAAAGAAGTTCCCTTTTCTCTACATCTCCCTCCCCTCCAGACTTGCCTGCCATCTCCAGGAAGGTTCCTGGCCAATTGGGCAGCCTCTCAGGCCTGGGAGAGGACTGACGCTTGCAGGTGCATCTGTCGTGCATCTTTTAAAAAATATTTGCCGAGCGAGTAAATGAGTGATAGAAGAGGGACAATCTTTGGAAATAACCCTCAAACACCAGGCATGAGGCCAGGGCCTCCCGGGAAAGTAGACAGATAGCTAAAGCATTGATCTGCCTAAAGCCTCCAGGAGGAAATGGGTGGCCCACCTCTCAGGAACATCCCAGCCCGCAGTGGGCTCTGACAGCAGAGCTAGTCAGCCTCAAAGGCCCCTCTCCAGGAATCTGAAGTCCATCCAACCCACCCTCCACCCCCGATTCTAGAGCTCAGCCTCCTCGATCCAGAACTCCGTGATCTGGAAGTCCAAGGGGAGAGTCAGCAAACACTCTGTAAATGGCTAGATCGTAAATATTAGATTTTGCAGCTCTCTGGTCTTCGTCATAGTAACTCAAAGCTTCATAAACGAATGGACATGGGTGTGTTCCAATAAAGCTTTATTTACAAAAATAACTGGTGGGCCAGATTTGGCTCTTAATGTGTAGTTTGCCTACCCCTAGTCTAAAGTTTTAGAATTGTGTGGGATCGCATGCATGCTCCAGGTTCCAGGGCTCTGGATCTGTGGATGATTCAGAGTCTGGATTCTCTGGGCTCAAGGAGAGATCCAGGTCAGAGGACAGCAAAGACCCTGAATAAGGGGGTAGTGGCCGTGAAATGCCTTTGGGTCAATTCTGACTCATAGTCGCCCGATGGGCAACAGAACAAAATAGCAACCAGTCCTACGCATCCTCACAATGATCATTTTCAAGCCCATCCTGGCAGCCACCGTGTCAATCCATCTTGTCTAAATCCATCTTGTCTTTTCTGTTGCCCCTCTATTTTACCAAACATGATATCCTTCTCCAGGGACTGGTGTCTCCTGACAACATGTCCAAAGTCTAGGAGATGTAGTGACACTATCCTTGCTTCTAAGGAGCATTCTGGCTGCAATTCTTCCCAGACAGACCTGTTTATTCTTCAGCAGCACCATAATTCAAATCCATCGATTCTACTTGGGTCTTCCTTATTCATTGTCCAACTTTGCATGCAAGGCAATGGAAAAGACCATGGCTTGGATCGGGGGCACCTTAGTCCTCCAAGTAACATCCTTGCTTTTCAACACTTCAACAAATCTTGTACAACGTATTTACCCAGTACGGTGTGACATTTGATCTCCTGACTACTGCTTCCATGAGCATTGATTGTGGATCTGAGCAAGATGAAATCCTTGACAACTTCCATCTTTTCTCTATTTATCATGATGTCCTTTACCTGCTGGCCCAGTTGGAGGGATTCTCATTTTCTTTACATTAAGTTGTAATCCATCCCGAAGGCTGCAATCCTTGGTCTTCATCAGCAAGTGCTTCAAGTCCTCCTCACTTTCAACAAGCAAGGTGGTGTCATCTGCATCTCACAGGTTGGTTGTTAATCAGCCTTCCTCCAATCCTGATGCTTCTCTTCTTCATATAGTCCAGCTTCTCTGATTATTCGCTTATCATACAGATGGAAAAAGTAGGTTGAGAGGATACAGCTCTGACGTACACCTTTCCTGATTTTAAACCATGCAGTATTCCTGGTTCTGTTCCCACAACTGCCTCTTGATCCATGTACAAATTCCACATGAGCACATTCTCCTCAAGGCCACATTCATCATTTGTTATAGCCATATCTATGTGTGAATCCATACGATTCACATAGCCAAGGGCCTTCACATCATCAATAAAGCACAAGTAAACAGCTTTCTGGTGTTCTCCATTTGCAGCCATGATATCCTCTACCCCTCATTTTTTTTCTGAATCCAGCCTGAATTTCTGGCAGTTCCCGGTCAATGTGCTGCTGCAACCGCTGTTCAATGATTGTCAGCACAATTTTACTTGCGTGTGATATTAATAATATTGCTCTGTAATCTGCGCATCCTGTTGGGTCACCTTTCTTTGGAATGGATACAGATATGGATCTCTTCCTGTCAGCGGCCAGGTAGTCTTCACATTTCCTGGCCTAGACCAGCGAATGCTTTCAGTGTCTCCTCAGATTGTTGAAGCACTTCAATGGGCAATACATCAATTCCTGGAGTCTTGTTTTGGCTAATGCCTTCAATATAGTTTGGACTTCTTCCTTCAGTACCACTGGTTCTTGATCATATGCTATACCTCTTGAAATGGCTGGATGTTGACTAGTTCTTTAGGGCACAGGGACTCTGTGTATTCTTTCCATCTTCTTTGGATGCCTCCTGCATCATTCAATATTTTGTCCATGGACTCTTTTCATATTGCAACTCGTGGCTTGAATATTTTCTTCTGTTCAAGATATGCTGACTGTGTTTGTCCTTTTTAGCTTTCTAACTCGAGGTCATTGCACTTGCACTATAATACTTTGCCTTCTCCAGCTGCCCTTTGACATTTCCGATCAGCTCGTTTTACTTCATCAGTTCTTCCATTTGCCTTAGCGGCTCCACTACTAAAAGCAAGTCCCCGAAGCCTCTGCTGACATCCACTTGGATCTGTCCTTTCTTTCCTGTCTTCGTCATGACCCTTGGCTCTCTCCATGCATGGTCTTCTTGGTGGCCTCTCACAGCTCGGCAGGTCTTCCGTTATCAGTGTTCAGTGCAGCCAATCTGGTCTTGAGATGTTCTTCAGGTGGAATCAACTCAAGGTCCTATTTTGGCTCTCGTGCATTTATTTTTATTTTTTTCTAGCTTCTACCTGAACTTACTATCAGTCAGCCACCGGCCTCATTCCGGCTGATGAGACTGAGCTTTCCCATCATCTCTTCCTGGCTTGGGGTTGACAGACAGGTGTCTGAAGGTGGTTAGGAAAGGTCACCAAGGGAATCTGTGGGGACTTGGGGCTTGTATAGCTCTTTCGAGGTTGGGCATGTGAGGCCTCCCCACTGAGCCCTGGCCATGACCCTGATATCTGTTCCCCCACTTCCTCTCTCTGTAGGGTGATGGCGGCCGGCTTGGCCCGCTGGAATGGCACCGGCAATGACACCTGGGAGGGGGATGAGCTAGGCTACAGATGCCGCTTCAACGAGGACTTCAAGTACGTGCTGCTGCCCGTGTGCTACGGTGTGGTGTGCGTGCTGGGGCTGGGCCTGAACACCGCGGCGCTCTACATCTTCCTGTGTCGCCTCAAGACCTGGAACGCCTCCACCACGTACATGTTCCACCTGGCTGTGTCCGACGCACTCTACGCGGCGTCTCTGCCACTGCTGGTTTACTACTACGCCCGCGGTGACCACTGGCCCTTCAGCACTGTGCTCTGCAAGCTGGTGCGCTTCCTCTTCTACACCAACCTGTACTGCAGCATCCTCTTCCTCACCTGCATCAGCGTGCACCGGTGCCTGGGCGTCTTGCGCCCCCTGCTCTCGCTGCGCTGGGGCCGGGCCCGCTACGCCCGCCGGGTGGCCGCGGCCGTGTGGGTGCTGGTGCTGGCCTGCCAGGCGCCCGTGCTCTACTTCGTCACCACCAGCACACGGGGCACCCGCATCACCTGCCACGACACCTCGGCGCCTGAGCTCTTCAGCCACTTCGTGGCCTACAGCTCGGTCATGCTGAGCCTGCTCTTCGCGCTGCCCTTTGCCATCATCCTGGTGTGCTACGCGCTCATGGCGCGGAGGCTGCTGAGACCGGCCTACGGGACCTCCGGCGGCCTGCCGCGCGCCAAGCGCAAGTCGGTGCGCACCATCGCCGTGGTGCTGGCCGTCTTCGCCCTCTGCTTCCTGCCTTTCCACGTCACCCGCACGCTCTACTACTCCTTCCGCTCCCTTGACCTCAGCTGCCACGTGCTCAACGCCATCAATGTGGCTTACAAGGTCACCCGGCCGCTGGCCAGCGCCAACAGCTGCCTTGACCCCGTGCTCTACTTCCTGGCAGGCCAGAGGCTCGTGCGCTTCGCCCGGGATGCCAAGCCCCCAGTCGACCCCACCCCGACGGCCCAGGCTCGCCGCCGGCTGGGCATGCGCAGGTCCGGCAGAAATGACACCCGGAGGACAGAGGACCTGTCGGCCAGCAGTGAGGGCACGAACCGGACAGCGTCTACGCCAGCTGGTAGCGGAACCACGAAGGATGTCCGGCTCTAGGACCTGTACCCTGTGGGCGTGCGCGCGTCTGTGTGAGAGACTGGAGGGGACCAAGACTTGTCGGTTGAAATGGACAGTCTCCCCAGATGTGAATTGAAGCCCGATGACCAAGGGAGCATGACCCCCACCCACCCACTCTGCCATTTGGCAGGGGCTCTGGATGCATGCTCTCGGGTCCAGGGCGCATAACAGACCCAAAGCCCCCAGTCATTATGTGCATGGGTGAGCTGGGGGAATAAGGTTTCAGGGAAGGCCAGGGTCCGGGGCCAATGTTGCCCTTGGCTTGACTTCCATATAAATAACCTGCCCTTTCTGCTGAGATGCTTAGGCCAGAGTCCGGCCGAATGGAGTCCAAGGAAGAAACAGGCCCATATGGAGAGGAAGGTGACTTACCAAGGTCACACAGCAGAGTCTGGGCCGGAGTGACCTGGTATGGGGCTAGAATCCCAGTGTGATCAGAGGACCCTGGTAAATAGCCAGAACTGAACCCCTTACAGGAGGTGGGGGGTGGGGGTGCAGTAGGCTGGGTATTACAGAGGACCCAGCTCTGAGGCATCCCCCCAGCCTGAGAAGGCAGAGGCCATAACCTCATGGGTAAGCTCCCCTGGACTGGGAGCCAGTTGGAAGCTCTAACTTATACTAAAGATTGTGTTGCTTGCGAATTGTGTGTCCAGTCAGTGAGTGGCAGGGGGATGGGGGGTGGGGGAAGGTGGCAGGGGGGATGCAGCCTGATAAGCTCTCACTATCCCCATCAGGGTCCTATTCTTAACCTGTTCTCCTCTTCTACTTGCCCTGGATAGGCTTATTTAAGACCACCCCTATCCCATCCCACCCCAGACCCAAGCCCATCGCCTACTTTCAAATCAAATCTGCTCTAAGAAAAAGTATCGGTCAAGTCCGGCATAAACCAAACTGACTGCCATCGAGTCCATGCCAACCCAGAGCGATCCTATAGAACTGCCCCTATGAGTTTCTGAGATTGGAACTCTAAAAAAATATTTTTAAATTGTTTGATTAGGGGCTCGTACAACTCTTATCGCAATCCATACATACATCAATTATGTAAAGCACATTTGTACATTCATTGCCCTCATCATTCTCAAAACATTTGCTCTCCACCTAAGCCCCTGCCATCAGCTCCTCATTCATCCCCCCCCCCCCCCCCCCCCCCCTCTCATGAACCCTTGAAAATTTATAAATTATTATTTTGTCATATCTTGCCCTGTCCAATGTCTCCCTTCACCCACTTTTCTGTTTTCCATCCCCCAGGGAGGAGGTCACATGTAGATCCTTGTAATCAGTTCCCCCTTTCCAACTCACCCTCCTTCTACCCTCCCAGTATCGCCACTCTCACCACTGGTCCTGAAGGGATCATCCGTTCTGGATTCCCTGTGTTTCCAGTTCCTATCTGTACCAGTGTACATCCTCTGGTCTAGCCAGATTTGTAAGGTAGAATTGGGATCATGATAGTGGGGGAGGAGGAAGCATTTAGGAACTCGAGGAAAGCTGTATGTTTCATCATTGCTACATTGCACCCCGACTGGCTCGAGACTGGAACTCTTTATGGGAGTAGAAAGCCATGTTTTTCTCCCATAGAGCAGCTGATGGTTTCAAACTGCTGACCTTGGTGATAGCAGCCAATGCATAACCACTGTGATAACCACTGTGCCACCAGGGCTCTGGCTTAGCACTGGGCAATCTGGAGTGCTGGGGCTGTGGACTAGGGTCAGGGCAACCTGCCTGGCTGCCTGGAGTGGAGATACTCCTCTGTTCTAAGAAGAGCATTTTATCAGAAGAACACACAGGTCCAGAGAATTCTGGGCAGAGACATGGGGGCAAGAATGCAGGAATCAATTGTAAGCCAACTGGGCAGCTGGCACCCAGGCTGGAGGTGGCCATGCAGCAGAAGGGCCAGGCACAGAGAAACCAGGTCACGGCTCCCTCCTTGTCCTGACCTTGAGGTTTCCTTTGCCCTGGGGGTAAATGGGAGAGACTCACTCATCTTCCCAATCCAGTCTTCCACATCCTGATCCATAAGACGATGGTGGATGCTCAGATTGGATCAGGGGACAGTGTCAGTGAGGCAGGCCGCCACTTGTGACAGGATCTGACCTATCAAGGACCACTCTGAGTCAGTTTGAGAAGCTGGCTGGGTAGGGATCAGCCTGCAGGGACAGTGCAAAGCTGATAGACTTGGCTCCTGACCTCAGGGATGGTGCCTCCCTCCCTCTCCCTCTGAGAAAACCCTGTCTCCATGGACCCATTCTGCCTGCGTGAAGGTCTCTCCTTCCCCAGATAGCTGTCTCCTTGATTTCTCCACCCAGAGGCTGCTCACTGAGGGCCCAGCTGGTTCCCACGCATTGTGAAATGTGGGTAACCTGCCCAAGTACATGTGAGATGGTCACATTTCAGATTTCATACCACTGTTAATGTCACCAGAATGTCTCTGAGCTCTTTCCTGAGCAACTCTCACAACCTGGCCTTGAACCCTCCTGCAGGCCCGGGACTAATCTCTTCCCAGCAGCTGTTGCTCAAGCTAAACCCTGTGCCGGTTTATAAAGAGACCCTACCTAGCTAGGTTGTTCTGCTGGCCCGAAGTATGAATGTTGAGCTCTGCCCTATCTCACCCTACTCTATGCCTTGGGAGACCCTCGAATGTGCATCTGGGGCTGGGTCAGGAGTGGGGGAGGCTGTGACCACCATAGGCTCAAATTCCTCAGTTTCTACTTCCCTCCTGTCCTGCCCACCTCCCTCTCTAGCAGCTGCCCTGGAGGCGCCACGAAGCCAGGTTATCACAGTGGGTGGAGACCACATGCAGACCCAGCCCCAGGAAATTTCCAAGAGCCAACTGCCTGCAGATTTCTAAGGACATGGGGCCAAAAGGGGTTCCCCCCTGCCAGCTAATCCCGTGACAAGTGCTGGTGAGAGTAAGGAATGGAGACTCTTAAGGACCAAGGGACAGACCCAGGGTCCCACCACTGGAGCCCCGTCAGACTGCATCTCTGGGCATCTGACCTTGTTGCTCAGTCTGGGCCACTCGCCTGGTGAGGCTCCTCTTCCCTCTGCTGGGTGCTATTTTCAGCTCAAATAAGAGAAGGATTTTCCATTCCCAGCCCCAAACCATTGTCCAGCTATGATGGCAAGGGTGGGGGTGGGGGTGGGGTGGCAGAGAGTAGAGAGGCTGCCTGTCCTCAAAATATCTCGGTTACCCTCTGGGCCTCCCTGCCCCCTCCTCGCCACTCCACCCCAACATCACTTCCTGGGGCCGTTGACTCCTGAAGGCC